ACTGATTGATTTAAAAAATGGCCAATAGGAATCTATTTCAAGCTCATTAAATGCCTACAGCAATCTTTGTATTCCATCTCATTTTTCACCATTTTCAATATTCCTAGATGTGTGCTATGCACATTCCACATTCTGATCATTGATGGATGTTTGCATCTGTATCTTCTCTTGAGTTGTGCAACATCAGCAAATGTCCCAAAAGCTTTACTCTACCCATGCCATCAATGTCAACTCTATTTCTGGAGGCAGCTCTTACCCAACCATATTTTGGGTGCCTTCCAACCCAAGGGGTTCCATCTGCTGGTACCGTATCAGACAATGTCCTGGCACTTGTCATATGATTTTTCACTGACCAATTTCCTTAGAAGTAGTTTGCCAGGACCTTCTCCCTAGCCTGTCTCAGTCTAGGAAGTTCCACTGAACCCTGTCCACCATGCAGTAATTAAAACACCATGCTTGTGATTAGCACACTGGTGACATAGCCTCCAACATCAGAGTAATAAGCAAGTTATCACAGAGCAACCAACACAGCTGAGTACATACATGGCACAGGGACTGGTATATGATAAGCATTAAAATGTTTACACATTTCTTCATGCATCCTGAAAACAGTGGCCCACACAGAGGCACTAACATGAAATCAGTTACCCTCACTCTGGAGCCAAATAGCCTGGGTTCAAGTTCCGGCTCCTTCAGCCTTGGGTAACTTACTACTTTTCTGTGCCTCAGTATCTTCATCTGAAACTGAACACCATGCTTTACAGAATTGCTATGAAGATCACAAGAGTTAAATATTAAGAGATTAGAAAGTACTTGGGCCAAGCACTACAGCATTATTAACCATCAATAGTTTCATTGTTTCTTCTACTGTTTTCCACATTAGCTTCAACCAGTCAACAGGAGCGTCTATGCTCCAGGAGGATTTACATTATTTAATGCTGAAGATTTCAAAACTCAGACATTATTAATTAACGTAATTGACGTTTTTAGGTTCTTCTGTTTTCTTATCCATTTCTGAGTACCAATTACAGGAAGATTTCTCACAAATTCTTAGTCTTACAGGAAATCTTAGAAAGTCAGTCTGAGAACAGGGCCAAGAATAATGCCACGTGAGAGTGGGAAATTACCAACCAAACGTACTGAGACTCTGGGCTGTGGTGCACAGGATGGTACAATGCCTCCAACCTTGAGCAGGCCCATTCACCGGGATCACCAGACCCTTACCTGTAAAATGGGGGCACTACACCCCCTGCCCTGCTGTAAGGGCAGCGAGGTGGAGGAAATGAGAACAAATTGATGTAAAGTCCTTTGTGATCCTGGAAACACTGTGCAAAGGTTAGGAAGCAGCAGCATCTGTTTGTGGTGTTTTTCTACAATAACCTTTCCATTTCTGCACGTTGTCACATCAGATTAAACGCCCTGTCATGGCAAGTACCCATTATGAGAACTAGCAAGAAGCACACTTTCTTTAAGAATCCAATAAGCAGGCATTCTTTGGACAACTCTCAAAAATAGCTCAGTCAATTCAGTAAATCGTCTTTGAAAACAGAAAAAAGAAAAAGAACTCACCACAGGCCTGCACCTCAGCCCAATGGGTCGCTCTGAACAGAAGGGCAGTGCATAAAGGCAGAGCAGAATGGCTGGCGCTTCGCCTGCCGCTGATAGAGAACTGCTATTCTGGTCCCCTGAGACTTTTTGTCTCTCACAACTCCACTTCCCTCCTGCTGGTCTCTACACTTCACAAAAGGTGCTTAGAAGTTATATTTCTAGTTCAGTGACTCTTCCAGCCACTGCTGGGTTTAGACCAGATTTAGCCTGAGGGCCTGTGGATGACCAAGCCCAGACAATGCCAAAGGAGCACCAAGCCAAGCTGAGCCCAGCTTTTCAGCCTGGCTATGCCACAGGGACTGGCCCTGTCTGAAGGCTCCATTTGTGACATCTTTTTACCCCATGACCCAGCAGGGTCCACAAGCGAGGAACAAAGAGGCCTTATTAGAGACAGGTGGAAGACAAAAACAAGTGGTTCTAAAGAAGAGTGGAAAAGAAGGTGCTAAGAACACCCCACACTCTTCTCACTGCTACAGGGAACCTGCCGCACCTAGGTCTCCCAATAAATGGGGATGTTGACTTCAGTACTAGAAAGGAGGGACTGGGCAGATGCCAGGTGTGGTGTGAACAGACCAAGAGATTTGCCACAAGCCTGCAAGTTCCGCAGCACGACTGGGCTTGCCTGTTCCACCCACTTCTGCCCCCTCCAGCAGAGTTACATGGTGGGATGCCAACGCTGCTGCCTACAGCATTCCACAGGCATGCCTTCCTGGCTGCCGTCTCCCCTCCCTGCCGCTACCCTGATCGAGTGGGTAAAGAACCACTGGGCTTACGAGGGGCAACACTGTCCTGACCCCACCAACGTGAGCCCATGGACGGGGTGTCCTGGAGCCCAAAATACCAAGAGAGAAGCAGCTCTTCTTCTCACACCACTCTGACTGATGCTCAAATGTGGCAGGCCTTGTGACTGGCCAGTGTCTCAGTTACATTTATATAGAATCCAAGTATCACTCATGTCTACCACGTCCTGAGCCAGCTCACTCTCTACCACCTCAACCTTCAGCAAAATCAATGCTGAGACAGATTGTTTCACAATGGGCTTTACCAGGGCCACTGTCTGAAATTCAGCACGCTCTCGTGTTCCTATGGCCCTGTACCGAGCTTCAGGTCTTTCTCCACAGCAATGCAATGGTCTTCCTGCAGCCAAACGCACTATCAGCCCCACAGGTTCAGAAATAAACCTGTGAAGGTAGCTATTTCTATGCCTCAACAGCTCCAGGCCGCTGTCCAGAGAACCAGCATCAGTCACCACTGACTCCTGACCATCTCAGCCATATCACCATATACTGCTCCGCAGGACTTTTAATAGCTGACATTTTTGGAAGTAGATCACCAGGTCTTTCTTCTGGATTGCCTCTATGTAGACTTGAACCACTCACATTTTAGTCAGATGTCTAAATCCAAGTCTGCTGGCCATTCTCCAGTGGGCAGAAAGCCCACTTGTTGATCGAGGCAAAATAGCAGCAGGGACTTGCCTTCAGGACCTTGGGGACACTGACAAAGGACTCCAAACAACAGACTGTTTAGAGACCACTTGAATTCAAAACCAATGCACTGTGAAATGGATTAGGGTGGTAGCTCCCTTGATCATAGAACCATTCAGTCCTCAAGAGATACAAGCAGAGTCAGAGGAAGGAAAGCTAGTGTGTGCCAACCCAGTGATGGTGGAGATGGTCTGGCAGTGTGACTCAACTCCACTTCCTGGGTCACAGCCAAAAATATGACAAAGCCAACTGCTCAGTAAAGCCAAGTGCCCACTAAGGTATCCTTGCAGATTCTGGCATTCTTGTCCGTAATAATGTCCCAGCGGTAATAGCTACAATTTACAAAGTGCTTACCAGGTGCCAAAAAGGTTACACAAATCAGCACATACCACCTAAGGGACAGATGAGCCCAGAGCGAAGGACAAAGCCTTTGAAGTCAGACCTCCCAGGTTATCCAATTCTCTAGTGGCTGTTGACATGCCAATTTTGTACCATGCTTTATGAGAGGAGAAGCAATGAAGAGACACAGTCCCCATTCTCATGGAGGTCATCATTATAATTTTGTTTTAAATTCTTTTTATTTATTTTCGTTTTCTTGTTGTGTACCTTCAAATAGATTTGACCAGCACAGGACATTGCCACTCTTTCTACAGCAGATTCAAACCACTGGTGGATTCAAACCGCAAGCCTTCGGGACTGTAGTGCAGTTTCTTGCCACCAGACCACCAGAGTTCCCTAGGAGTTCATCATTGATGGAGGAAAATATATTAAAAATTCAGATCAGTAAAATAGAGAGTGAGGAAGCGCTGGAGCAGGCCACAGTGAATTGTGTTGCTAAGGCAAATGCTCTGCCTCTGGTGGTTCAAATCCAACAGCGACTGTGTGGGAGAAAGATGGGCACTCTCCTCTCGTGTGATTACAGTCTTGGAAACCCAATGGAGCGTCAGCTATGAATTAGTTCTAACTCAACGGCAAGGCATTTTTGAAATAGAAAGTGAAAGATCCTGTAACAGGGGGCACATAATTCAGCCAGGGCTTCAAGACAGCTGGGTGAATCTTAACACATTGCCGCACACGTTTTAAATTGACGACCATGTTTAGAAATACATTTGCCGTCATTTGCGGCTTACCAAGTTAACGGTATAAAAAAAAATATTAAAAAAAAAAAAAAGTTAACGGTATAGAAATTACTTAAAACTCTCAAACCTCCATTTCCTCATCAGCAACATCACAAGGTTCTGTGAAGGTTAAATACGGCAATCTACATAAAGTGCTTACCTCAGGAGAGAGAAAAGAAAATGACTAGTACTCTTTAATTAACCACAAAAAAGAATTAGATTTTGCACAGATTTAAAGTATGACACCTCATCGTATCACTACGTTTTTCTCATGCAAACATTTTCAAAATCACAGGTTTAGTCACTACCAAGTACTCAATTCTCTAAGGGCCGATCTCTAAGGTAATCATATCATTTACTGGCCAAACCATGGGCTCTTTAAGAGTAAAAACACAAAGTGATCACGAATTATGATGAGATAGAAGGAAGGGTATACCAGGTGTGCCATCTTGGGCAAAATGGAACAGCCAATGGATGGTTTTATCCATCACCACTTACAGGCCATTTTCAGGGGCAAGACTGGCACTTTGCTTTGAATTCATTCTACATCATCTTGGGATGCTGTCACTCCTTTTGAGGCCAAGCCCAACAGAACCCCAAGCTGGATGAGGGCCAGCAACCACTCTGCCCCACTCAGGGGAGTCAATGAACACATGAGCATCTGCCTCTCTCAGGGACACTCACAAAGGTCCTCCCAAAAGCAGAGGCAAGACAGTGCATGGTCCTGGCAGGCAGCATCTGTCATCCAGCTACCTGTGACCCTTTGTCATCCCCCCCACGTTCTCCTTACCTCAGGTGTCCCAGGCTGTAAAAGCGAGACTCGCCGTCTGTGGAGCGGACCACCTGCAGCGTGAACATGGGCTGCAGCTGCCTAAGCTCCAGCAGGACGATGGCCAAGTAGTGGATAAAGAGGAGGGCGTCCACGAGGGACACTGCGTATTGCACGATGCCCTGGTAATTGCGGTCCCGAGAGTCTAAAATGCGGACCCCATAAAAAAGCCAATAGGAGATCACGAACAGGAAAACGAGGACCATGAGAAGGGCACGGAACACAAACACCCTGGGCACGTCGGCTCTCTGCTTGCGGAAGAAGAGCGCCCAGGTCCCGATGAGCAGAATGAGGAGCTTGAAAGCCACAGAAATGAAGAGTCCCTCACAAATTGTGCCGCAAGGCTCCAGCTCTTCCCTCCACAGGATCGGGGGTAACAGGATGAAGGCAATGGGGGTGAGGAAAACTAGAAGTCCAAGAAAAGCGGCAATGGTGAGGCCCAGGTAGCGTTTGCAGTCCAGCCCCACGCTGTCCTCCATGTCTTTGCTGATCCGAGCAATGTCCTCTTGGGATATACTGTGCTCCGAGGTGCCCGTGATGGCTGTGGTGGTCTCTCCCCAGTTGTCATCCTGGTGGGAACCAAACAGTGAAGATGCTGACCCACAAGTCATTTGCAAAAGCCACAAAGCAAGCATCTGGGAGTCAAGGGGAAATGGGAAGGCCCACCTCAATTACCCAACCCACAAGCCTTGGCTTGCTAGAAAACGAAAGCTTAACGCTTTTTAAAAAATATTTAACAATATTCATTGCACTTTCTTTTTTTTTATATGTGTTATCCGATCAGAGAAAACACAGCTTAACCTTTCTGTTTGTTTTGGCAAGTCCTTACTATATAGACAGTGGCACTGATTACCAGCCTTCTGTGTTGAAATTCCCAGAGAAGTTCTGAGGGGCTTGGGGTGGTTTGCCCTGCATTAAGAGTCCTGCAGTTAGAGTAACCATGTGAGAACTTACCTATGCAATAAGAACATTGCTGTGTGTTCACTTCTCAATTCATGCTTATGTTACCAAGTCCAACTTTGGAAGTCTTACTGTACCCTCTAGTAGCTCTGAAGAGTTAAATTGTCTAACAAGGGAGCTTATTTTGTCTCACACTCAATTCTCATTGTTGCTGTGTAATACTGCAGAGCTGGCTTCTGTCAGCGTAACCCAGGAACTACAGAATGAAACACAGCCCTTGTCCTGTGTCAACCTCACAATGGTTCCATCCTTGATCCACTATGTCAGTCTGTCTCCTTCAGGGTTTTCTTGATTTTTGCTGATCCTGTCCTCTACCAAGCATGTTGTACTACTCCAAAGACTCGTCCTTCCTGAGAATATGTCCAGAGTATCTTGAGATGAAGTCTCACCATCTTTTTTTCCAAAGAGCATTCTGGTTGCGCTTCTTCCAAGACATATTAGTTAATTTCCCTTTTCACTAAGACATACTTCTAACCCCCAAATCAATAGCTGGGCAAGTTATGGGGAGAACAGCAAAACTTTGACTTTTCCAGTGCGCGTGTTCCCAGCTGAGGAAAAGCAGTGTGACACTCTACTTTTTTGTTTGAGCTTTCAACATGTGTCCCCTGTGGCATATTTTCCACATTTTCACATGTTGGGTGACTTTTGTAGTTTAAAGCACTCTCCAAGCATAGTGTTGAACTCCTATCTATGAGCTTATTATATGCAAGAAGGTGACCACACACCAGTCAGAGAAAATGGATGGTGTGGATGAGCTCTTATTCAGACAGGAGTTGCAGTGCTATTAGTGACTTTAATGGCAAAGAATCAACAATATATACATTAAATAAGATGGTTTTTAAACAGAATACAAATAAGACAAGGCTGTGAATTGACTGATGGTGAAAATGGGGCCAGAGGCTTTAAAAACCCCCACCTCACACAGTCTCTGGGAGTATTAATTCATTAACTCAAGAGCGCTGGTGGCACAATGTGCTGTGTACCTGCACTGCTAACCAAGAGCTCAGCAGTTCAAATCCACTGGCTGCTTCTCAGGAGAAACAAAGGCAGTCTCCTCCTGTTAAGATGTTGGCCCTGGAAACCTGATGGAGGGTAGCTATGGGTGTGAATCAACTCAAGGGCAGTGGGTTTATTAACTAATTCAGTGTTTACAACATCTTTATAGAACATAACTACTGGGAAGAATGAAAAATCAACTGTAAAAGTAATAGTTTACCTACAACTAGTCCACACATTTCATAACTCTTTACAAGATGTCAAGACTCATTCATAAAATATCAGTATCACTCTTAGACCGCATTTCTCATTAACTAAGACAAGATAATGAGATTAAAAATTCTACCTGTAGTCAAAACAGTTAAGAAATTCCTCTCCAAACACATGTTCCCATGACAAACTAAACATACAGGATACAGAAATAACCAGGATTATGATGTGTCTTTTCATGCTTTCAATCTCTTTTTAAATTTTAAGTACTTCCTAGTTGGACTAAGTAGTTTACTCATTTAATGGGAGCCAATTTTTAAAATTTTAAGCCATTTTGCTATTTCATTGGCATCTATGACTGCCTAAAAGTAACACTATAGATAACAAGTACTCCAAATTCACACTGGGTCCACAGAGATTCCTTTTTAACTTGAAAAGAATAATCCCGATGTAGTAGCAAATTGAGTGAAATGAATGAGGAGGTAATAACTTAGAAAAATCTTGTTTAGTTATTGAATCAGCAAGATAAAAACTTCTTCTATAACAGAATAATGACCTTGAATCCAGAAATGATTTGATAATATGATTTGTGAAGTTCACTGGAAGCCATGGGAGTTTTGGTGGCTTAGCAGTAAAGTTAGCAGTAAACTAACCCAAAGGCACAAGGTTCAAATCTTTGCACCAGCTGCTCTGAGACAGAAAGAATGCTCTCCTCCCATGCAATGTCCTGCCTCTGAAAACCATCTACAGCGTCAGCTGTAAGTTGTTTCCAACGCAACAGTATATAACAACAAGCAAGGGATGGTGAAGGTCAAACTTATGAACAATAGTTCTTTAGCTTTAAAAGATCACAAGCCACAAGAGAAAACTGCTACTAAAGACAATAGCCAGAAGCAACTAGGATCCTCATCACTTTGGAAATTGGTCTGGCTGTGTCATAGAAATTTAAATAGAGTCATCCTATCAGGTTGCAAAAAATAATCAGTTTGAATTGTCTAGTCACTCTGTAGGAGAAAGTTTCCTCTCATAAATACTTAGAGCCTTGGAAATTCTTTGGAGGGGCACTAGGACTCAGAATTAACTGGAAGGCAATGGGTTTTTTTCCTTTTCTAGAGCTCTCTGGTGGCCTAATTCATAGAAAGTTGCACTGTTAAACCAAAGACCATGCCTCTATGGTGGTTCCAGGCTACCAGCAGCTCCTCAGGAGAAGAATGGGAACTCTCCTCCGAACTGATCTTCAATTCAATGGAGGATCAGCTAGGCGTCAGTTCCAACTTGATGGCAAAGATGGTTTTTTTGAGTATGTATGAGAGCAATCTCATGACTGTGCTTTCACTCAAAAGAAATGGAAGCATGTGCGCATAATTTAGACAAGAATGTTCATAACAGCTTTATTTGCAAAATCAAAAATGTAGAATCCAAATACTGATGATCAGGAAAACGAACAGCAGAGTGAAGAAAATGAACTGCTGATACACATTAAAACCTAAATCTCACAGTTATAATGCTGCATGAAAAAATCTAAAACTACTTGAATTCCAATTATACAAAACCCTCAAACAGGTAAACTAATGTATAGAGGTAGAAATCAAAACAGACAATCAAAACAAAAGTTGTCTTGGTGCGGTGAAGAAGGGGAAGCCAGACTGGGATGAACACAAGGGAACTTTCTGGCTGGATGAAAATATGTCTCTTGGTGAGGGGTGTGGATGATGTGTGTGTATTCATTTCTTAAAAGTCACTAGACTGTGTTCTTCTGAACTGTTCATTTCTTTATACATATATGACGTTCAAATCAAAAAGAAAAAACGGGTGGAGTGGTGTAAAAACAACAAACGCAAAGATCTTCAACATGGTTTAATAAAACGTGAGTTCAGAGGCCAAATCACACAAGTTACTCTGACTTGAGGATTAAGTACCAGATTCAATGCTTTAAACTGAATCCTAACTTTCCACTGATGGTCAATGGTCCAGTCATTACTTTTAGCATCTTATGGTCACTTTGTGTTACCACAACAGGGCCTTGATCTAGCCAATGACCCCTTTTTCCTGCACACAGGGATCCTAATGAAATCCTCTGCACATTTGAAGAATTTGTGCACTTCTGGGTTTAAAACATGTGGATGTCCATGAGGTCCTCTCTGAGTTTGAAGACTGAAGAAACAACCCAACTCCTTAGGTTTCTGATGAAAAAACTGAGGCTTACAAAGGTTCTGACTGCCTGCAGTGGCACAGCTACTAGAAGGACAGCCTCTAAATACCCATGTCAATGCTATCCCCACCACACCTTCTAGCGTCAACAAGAAAAGCTACCCAGTGAGCCCACAAGTTACATAAAAGCTGCAAAGAAAGAAATGCCTTTGTAATGGGCTAACAGCACATCAGAACTTACATTCAGAATGAAACTGGACTCCTAAAGCACTTACTGGAGGTCCAAACAAGCAATCCTAAAATTGGTCCCACCCACCCATCATCCCTCTACCCATCAATCACTACATCAGGCATTGAAGGCATTTGTTTACCACAGAGCAAATGTCACATTCAAACCACAAATACAGCTTTGGGTCCTGGAGCACCCTGTGTGCACTGAGGAATTCCAATTTGGGCTTCACTTCATCCCCTATTTCTGCTAACTAGTGTGTTATCTGTATGTCCTCCAGCTGTGTCCAGCTCTATTCCTGTCCCGACATCCTTACAGCTGTGTATGCATGCACACATCACTTTGTTTACTCAGGGGCAAGGCTGAACATGCACATACTTCAGGAGCTGTGGAGGGTGTGCAAACATGTTTCTGAGTATAGCTCAGATGTTTATTTAAATGTGGTGGGCCACCAGCCAGTTGAGAATGAGAGAAGAACCCACACAGAGTTTTGTAAAAAATTAATACGCTGTCAATATTATAAAATTGGGTGCTTTCACATGAAATCTTCATTTCCAGCTTTCCTTAAAAACGGCAAGATCCAGAAACAACTGAGCCTGCATTCCTGGATGGCAGTAAGTGTCTGGAGCTAAGGAGGTGCTGTTTCTTTTTCCACAGGAAATGAAGTTTCCCATTTGTCACAAACTACATCACTCCACATCTTTAAACACTGAGGCATGGCACAGATTGTTATTAACTCCCAAGATTATCTGCTCTGTTCTCTACTTTTTTCCTCTCTCTTAACTCAAGTACTCTCACTTCATTAGATTTTCCTAATTGAAAGGTTAGTGGTTCAAATACATCTAAAGGCTTTTCAGAGGAAAGGCCTGGTGATCTACTTTCATAAGGTCACAGAATCACTATGAATTCCAATCAAGGAAGAAAATGGTTTTCAAATCAAGTGTTTTGAGTGTACAAGCCCTGATTTATGTCACATTATTTCTTAGTGATGTTCAGCCTTGAGTACCCAAACTCTCCATCTCTTCTCAATACTGATTAAGGTTTTCTCCTCTCTATTATGACATCATTTTGCAATGAGTCTCCAGAGACTCTAGCCTCTAACTTTTCCCCTCCCTGCCCTGTCTTCAAACTTGCTGGCTGCTTTTCAACATCATTCAAAGTGAGCCAGCCAATCATACTTCAGAAGAATCCTTGAGCTAGCCAATGGCAGCACAGGCTGTCCTTAGACCAACAAGAAACCATGAGACATAAAAAAACTAATTAACATGCTATAAAAACAGGGCAAAAAACCCAAGAGAGCCTATAGCAACAAGCCTTAGGAAAACATTTACCAAAAGGAGCCTTGGCCAAGTGGCAGTATGCTTCTAAAATGCCTGTGATCCTTACCTGAACTTCTTCTGTGCGAGTGGAATCATTTGCCAACAGGGGCTCTCCAGTGGGAGCCTGAATAGTGACAGACTTTTCTGAGCCCCTGCCATCTTTATTCCGGGGTGATTTATGTCTCTCTCTATTTCTCTCCCTGGAAAAAGAGGATAATCAGCTAACACATTCATGTCACATTCATTAACCCTCTAGTTCATCAAAATGTTATACATTTTGTACCCACACAGTGTCAGTGCCCACCCCTCCCTATTTTCCAGTAATGAGGAAAAGCTGAGGTTTCTTCCCTACTTGGTATCTTCTTTCTGTCATTTCATCCCAAGTACCAAAACAAAACCTGGCATTCCTACTCTATCAAAAGTGAGCCTATTTTACAAAATCCAAAGCTGTGTGTTTCAGAATTCCTACAGTTAAGGCTTACTTTTATTGTAAAAACATTACAAACATGATTTGGTTATCATCTCCCTCAACTAATTCACCAGGACTTTTTCCTCCAGTACAACACTAAACACAGAATATTTAAGCTTTGATGTGGGCTACATTGTCACTTTACACCTCTGGATAAGAGAAGAAATTCTAAACTAGTACAGAGAATTCTCACAAATTCAAAACTAGAAGGTATTCCCAAAGGTTTGTAGCTGAATTCAAAGATACTCATAGGACAATAAATCAGGACAATGACACCAAGAGTAGGGTGTGTGGGGCATGTTCACACCTCCTGAAGGAAGTAGGCCACTGCATTGTTTCACCCCAGATGAACTTCCTGGGTGGTCCTCCCGGGTGACTATGAGAGTGCTCTCCTCTAGGTCAGATCTTGAAATTACAAAAGCCATCAATCACTGTGGATGGGAACTGGCCTTCCTGCCCCCAGCTGCTAGCAGCAAAGTCAGAAGGCACCAAAGAAAGCTGTTGGTGTCCCACAGTCAGTTAGAATGTCCTCAGTCTCTTGTCCCAGACTCCTTTCACATCAGATCTTCCTTCAAGCACTTGTCCTCATTCCCAAAGTTTCCTAGACAGGATGGAAGAAGCACTGTGCATATAAATTAGAGAGAGAAATAATCAAATCTCAGCTCCGTGAACACAAGAAAACTTGTGACCTTGAACAAGTTATTCAACCTCAGAAAACCTCAGTTTTCTTTTTTTTTCTCCTTGTGTACCATCAAATTATATCCCACTGGCACAGGAGGAGATTGCCCTTCCTTCTCCAACAGAACATCTGGTGGATTTGAACTGCGTGCCTTCAGGATTGCGGTGCAGTTTTCTTGCCACTAGGCCACCAGAACTCCCTTTTACTTATTATTTGTGAAATGAGGATTATATACTATCATATAGTAAAGGTATAAAACATAAAGCCATTCAACCAATTCAAACTGATGGCAAGTTTTGCTTGAATTTACAAGCACAGAAACTTCTATGCAAGAAGACTGTGGATTCGTATCTCCAACCTTTTGGTTGCCGGTCCAGTATGTTATGCACTATGCCTCAGGGGTCCTGAGAATATATATATTAATGCTCCATATATGAGTGCAGAAATTATCGAGTAATATCATTAATATCACATGCAAGCAAGATTCTGCTGAAAATTATCCAAAAACGTTTGGAACAATATGTCAACAGAGAACTGCCAGATGTGCAGGCTGGATTTAGAAGACGTCGTGGTACTAGGGAAATTATAGCTAATGTTAGATGGATCTTGGCAGAAAGCAAAGAATACCAGATGAATGTCTATCTGTGCTTCAATGACTATGCAAAGGCTTTTGACTGTGTGGATCACAACAAGCTGTGGCTGACTCTAAGAAGAATGGGAATCCCAGAACATCTGATTGTGCTAATGCGAAACCTATACTTGGACAAAGAAGCAGTCATCAGAACAGAGCAAGGAGACATTACATGGTTCAAAATCAAGAAGGGGGTTCGTCAGGGATGTATTCTGTCTCCATGCCTTTTCAATCTGTATGCAGAACAGATCATCTGAGATGCTGGGCTATATGAAGAGGAATGTGGCATCAGGATTGGTCATCAACAATCTGCGTTATGCAGATGACACAACCCTGCTTGCTGAAACTGAGGAGAACCTGAAGCACTTGCTGCAGAAGGTCAAGGACTGCAGCCTCCAATATGGACTGAAGCTCAACATCAAGAAAACAAAGATTCTCACCACTGGACCAATTGGCAGCATCAGCACGGATGGTGAAGAGATTGAAATAGTTAACAGTTTTAGTTTGCTTGGCTCCACAGTCAACACTCTTGGTAACAGCAGCCAGAAAATCAAGAGAAGAATTGCATTGGGAAAGTCAACTGTGAGGGACCTCTCAAGCTTACTGAAGAGCAACAATGTCAGGCTGGAGACTAAGGTGTGCCTAATCTGGGCTATAGTCTTCTCAATTACAAGCTATGCTGGACAGTGAATAGGGTTGACAGAAAGAGAATTGATGCCTTTGAGCTGTGGTGCTGGAGAAGAGTGTTGAATATACCATGGACTGCTAGGAGAACAAACAGGTTTGTCCTGGAGAAGGGGAAGCTGGAATGCTCCTTGGAGTCAAGGATTCTGAAGCTTTGTCTGACATACTGTGGGCATGTTGCAAGGAGGGACTAGTCCCTGGAGAGGGACATCATATTGGCAGAGTAGAGGGGCGGCGAAGGAGAGGAAGACCTTCGATGAGATGGATCGATTCTGTGAATGGAGCGGTGGGAATAAGTGCGTTTGAGAAGGCTAGGTTGGCACAGGATAGAACAGCATTTAGAGATCTTGTACATAGGGTCACTATGAGTCGCAAGCAACCCCTTGGCACATAACAACAACACCAACAATATGGGTGCAGGATTTCCAGGGTGGCTCAAAACAATTATGTGCTGAGCTAATAGATAAATAAGGACGAAAGAAGAAGAACTGATGCTTTTGAATTGTGGAGAGGAGTACTGAACACCTTATGAACTGTCAAAAGAACAAACAAGTCTGTCCTGTAGGGGAGTGCAGCTAGGATGCTTCTTAGAGACACAGACGGTGAAACTCCGTCTCACATCCTTTGAGCATGTTTACAGGAGGGGTCAGTCCTTGGAAAAGGGCATCACACTGTGAAAAGTGGAAGCTCAGATAAAGAAACACAGACTCTCAACAAGATGGACTGACACAGTACTTGTTTAATAAGGGGCTAAAGCAGATCTGAGATGGTGAGGATGAGGAAAGACAGGACAAGGTTCAAAGCCATTGTTCACAGGGTCATTCTGAGGAGTCACGGTCAAGTTGATGGCACCGAGCAACATCATCATCAACACTAGATAAAAAGGTTGGTGAGCTGAAGCCACTCAGAGATATCTTGTAATATTGGCTTGGCAATCTGCACCGGGAAGGTCACAGCCTTTCAGACCACATAGATCAGACACACTATGCACACACCAGAATTAGACAGCAAAACAATGCTGTGTTGAGAAGCCAAGGGAAGATTTTACAGCACAAATACTCTCTTAATGCTCATCCTCACACGTCTCCCTTGACAGAACACTGCAGCTGTGAAATATCCCTCGGGAGCTACTTTGGGAGTCACGGTTGGACCGTGACCATAGATAGTACATGAAGCTATGTGCCCAACTACAATCGCTTCAAAAGACACTCACTGGGAGAAACTTTTGGGGAGTGATTTCCCATTGCTTGGTCAGCTGGTAGGATGAGGATTAGCCTAAGAAGTCAAGAATTGCTACACCAGCAGACCACCTTCTTTAGCTGAGGGGCGGGGGTGCCCTCTATTTTTGTCCATTTTTCCTCTCCCCGACTACCCTCTATGATTATCATTTCCTGTACCATCAGCCAAGTCACATGCTCACTAACCTATCTATAGTCCCTCAGGGTCAAATCCTGTGACAGCAAAAATTCCACAGGAAATCAGAATTCTTTCACTGAGTGCCAATTCTTTCAGCCTGAGCACTACAGGGTAGAAACACAGGTGGGGAGGTCCCCAGAGCTGGGAACAACCCCTCCAGAGCCAGCTACCACTCTTATCAGTCCTCAACTCCCAATCCCTAAGCTAGCTCTTAAAAGGCCAACATGAACTGAATAAAAACAATTCTCTAAAGTCATTTTCCTAAGGAGATCTGAGGCAAACCAAGTAAAGCCTATTACCTGATGACCGAACACTTCTCATCCTCTGGAGAAAACCTAACCAAGGCTTCCCAAATCTGAGTGCAGAAAAGCCATCAATCAGGGTGGAGGTAAGTGTGGATTCATCTGTTGGCCCCAAGGCCAATTAATCACCTCTAGAAGGAAGACAGCAAGAATTTACACCTTCATCAGCACCTCAGGTGAGCAGGATGTGGCCAGTCCAGAAAACCTCTCCACATCCACAGTCAGGGACAAAGGGGTGCTGGAGTGGTTCCTGAAATGTCTATCTGTCTGTAAAATGCATCATGCCCTGCACACTGAAAGGCCTCCATCATGGGAGCCACGGACATAATGTGAGCAGTACAATGTAATGAGGCTTCTTTACAGAAATTTCATTAAGTAGGTGAGGCTGGGAAGGGCTTGCAAAAAGCCTGCATAACAAATGAGCTGATGCCTACTGCTGATAGCCTTCCATTCACAGTCTATTGAGAGCTGACTGCAAGGAAGGTGCTAGCAAACTCAGTACCCATGTGAGCTGCTGGCTGTACTGGACCTCCTGATCTAGGGAGCACTCTTGGTATATAAATCCCTAGTTCTGAACAACTGCTCCAGAAATGTCAGTGAGCCAAGTCAGGACGTAACAGACCATCCAATAAAAATACTGCTGTTCACTGTTTTCCAGTTTGCAGTTATGAGCTGGAGGATGGCTGCCTGGGTGCAGCAGGCACCCAAATATTCCATATGCTCTGACATAAGGCAAACCTGTGGCTACTGACTACCTTCTGGGAAAGGGTGTCCCAAGCAAGAAGACTATCAGTTGCTGGTGTCTTGAAAGAATGGAAATAGATCAAAGAGTAATCAGGCGATTCAGGAGCCGCAAGGGATAGGCTATGAGGAACATAAGCATGTTTGTGCATTTTCAAGCCTGCAAAGCAGTGGAGATCACCCATGTGTCTTGACTGGCAGGTGTGTGCCAGGCTCAGGAATCTTAATCTCTCTATCTGTCTCCACATAGCATCTGCCCATGTGAGTAAAGATAAGTC